TCAACTTGTTACACTCAGTCCCAAAATAAAAGAAAAGACTGCAAATACTAGTATAAAATCATAATGATGCTGTATAGGGTTATCGAAGCTTCAACGAAGTTGAAAAAAAAAAAAAAAAAAAAAAAAAAATGGAATATAGGTATACCGAGGTAGTCAAAAAAGAAGGGTCATCAACAATTCATAAGGAACTTCTCCCGGTCATGACGAGAAGAATAACATAGCGCTGGGTAAACCTGGTATCTGAAAATCATGGGTATGTGACGGGTATGGATTAGAAGACGGTGCCATCTGAACGGATCATAATTGGTGGTTCTTTGGTGTTTGGTCTCGAGACCTCTGCAATTTCGCGGCCGCCCTGGGAAAGTTAATATCATAGCTAGATTTCGGGGGAGGAGGAGGAGGAGGGGGTGGGGTACTAACCTTCCATGAACCAGCTTCGAGCAGCTGCGGAAGCGTCAATTGATCCTCTCCCATCAAACCAAGCTGCGAGTTGACCTCTAGTAGCAGCTCATCCAAGAAACCAACAGTAGCAGCTCTCCACTCAACAATGACGTCGTCATCGGCGGAGAAGAGAGGCACAACTTCCACGCTCGGTTGACCCTTGATCTGAGAGTTCTCTCGGAATGCTTCCAGACCACGCTGGAGATCCTGTTCCTTCAGAGTCATCAGGCCCATGTCAATCAGCAGACCACCGTTGCGGTACTCAGGCAAGCCAGTGAGAAGGTCGCTGCCCGCGAAGTGGATGTTCATCAATTTCTGCATCGGGACCATAACGGAGTAACATAGCCATTGAGTAAGCTTGTGGAAAGGAACGATGCTCTGCCATGCTGGTGCTGGCGGAGATTGCGGCAAGCTCCAGCATCGCCAGGCATCTCCGAGGGGTGCACCGTCGATCTGACTTCTGGAAGACGGCCAAATCGAGGAGAATCCATCCATCAGAACGGACCAGAGCGTTGTGATGGGGACGATGGGAACCGAGGAAGCCAGTGTCGATGGGTGGGAAAGGAGGTAGTCTACAGCGCAACAAGTCAGTAAAAAGTAGAAAGAAGATACCTCGTCGCTACTTACCAAGCATATTACCAGGTCGAGCATCCACCCCGAAAAGCTGCTGGTTGTTCAAAGCGTCCGCCAATCGAATCAACAGTCCTGCGCGACCCTCTAAACCAGCCAAGGGGTTCTGTTCGGAATGTTGCATTCCCTTGGCCAAAACATCGACGGTGAGCTTCTTCAACCCAGCACCGTCAACCTGGCATGGCTCCGCCGGGTCACTGCTGAAAAGACCACTCTTGAACATCTCGAGAGCCGCGATGGCCAGACCCTCACTACGCGAAAAGTACTTGCCGGATTCCTTGGAGCGGTAGGACCACCGGGTCCCTGCGCCGGCATCGAGGAGAACGGAGACGACGAACAGATCGATCAGACGGCGGGTCCGTTCCTGCGCATCGATGGAACTAGGCCACGATTGGAGTAGTTGGTTGATGCGAGGTCGACCACCAGCTTCGAAGTGCTGCCAACGGCCATGGGACGGGATAGAAGTATAATCGGGGGCGTAGTCTCTCTTTAAATCGATAGTCAGAGGAAGGCGATCACATGAAAGGAGGAAAGATAAATCGAAATTACCTTGATGATAGACACCACGTAGGAAGCGGTAATTCCAAACTTGGTCATATCAACATTGAAATGATTGAGCTCGTTCCGTTTGGCCTTTCGCAGAATAATGTTGCAGCGATCCCGAACGGCATGAATGCTGCGAAGGTAAGCAGCGGGATCCAGGGCGGGATCGGGAGGTCTAGCGATAGGGAGCTCTGGAATCGAGGTGGGCAGACCACCTGCTCCCTTGAAGCCGGGGGATTTCAACGAGACATTCGAGGTCCGGGCACTAGGGGCGGAGACGTAGGATTCCTGTTCATCCTTGTCGCTGTGGATGGACTGTTTGGAGTCTTTGCGTTTGAAGAGGCCCATATTGTGGGAGGATTCGGTAGGAAATGGTGCTCTGGGGGGGGGGAAGGGAACGGAGGAAAGGAAGATAGGAAGGAGGAAAGAGGAAGAAAAAGAGAAAGGAGAATGGAAGGAGGAGGAGGAGGCGAAGAAATTAACGAGAGGAGGGAAAAAATGCAGAGGAGCACCACAGGGGGGGGGGGGGGGAAAAAATGCGCTATGACGGGATTGTAATTTTTTTTTTTTTTTTTTTTTTTCTCCCTCCTGCCACCGTCAAGCCGGACTAATTGGGATCGAGAATAATAAACAATAGTAATCACTAATAAAAGATTATTATTTTAATCCCGACGATAATAACGCTACTAATTCGGGGGGAGAAGTACTCCGTAGCCCGTGGTAAATAAATAAGATGTGGTATGAACGGAGGGACCAAGTGTCAGGAGACTGTGCAGAGTACAGTACTTGTATGTAGTGGTGAACTGTGAACTGGAAAAGGAGACGAGGAACCGAGCAAATCTTATTCTGGATTACTCAACTTAGTTAGCTAGTCTCGTTTTTTCTTCTTCGTCTCGTTCCTTTTTTTCGCCAGTGGAGAAGTGGAAGCTGCCACGGTGGATGTGCCCCGCCATATACCAAGTACCCAGCAAAGCACGGAGGCTTCCTGTTCACCCAAAGATACCAACTGTCCAAAGAAGTTCCGTAGATCCAGTGCCAGCACAGACGCCTTGACCAATTCTCCCAGACTCCAACCGGCTGGTTCACGATGCCTCTCCGTGATCCGTGTCCACCGTTAAAACCTTTTTCGATTTGTTATTATCGGAGTAGCTTCGGGGTTGTTTCCAGGGTAGAATCACCGAAAAATGCCGAATCGGTAAGGTTTAATTGTACTTTGTTTGTATCCCCGGAGTATTACTCTGTACTAACAGGATATACAATGCATTGTACAGTTCGAGCAGGTCAGCCAGGAGTCAGGAGTAAGGGTTTTCCGCGGGACCAATCAGGAACCATCGGGATGCGCTAGTCCACACGCGTGCGACTACCGCGCGGCTCGATTTCCCCGAGACCCATTGGTGGGTCTGGTCCATATAGGGACTAACGTATTGTATTTGTACTTGTACTCTGTATTTATTTTTGAACTGGTATGGGAGAGCAGAGACTTGTGTAGACTACAAGTACAAGTATAAAGGAAAGATATGCACGGCTGAACCCGCAATGCATGTAATACTCACGGCCCTCTGATGCGGGGCCAGAGTAAAGTCATGATACATACAAGTAGAGTTTAGTATTTCACTTCTCCTGCTCATTTCCATGGTTCTTCTCTTAGATAGTCTGCACGTTCCTACTGAGACCGGTTCCCTTCCGTATCACCGTATTGACTTTCGCTGTATACTCTCAAATAGACCGAGTATCGGCTGATCCGGCTGATTACCCTGTTACCATTGCATGTGTTACATCTCTCACCTACAAGTAAAACATCCTGTATCTTGTTTGGAACACAATGTGATACCGTCGTCCTGTCATGGCACTCCACACGGAATGCGGAGGAATAATATTCCACATCCCGATTACTAATATATACATCAGCCACACCCGCCACACCCGCCACACCAAACACGTCAGCCACAATGACGGCCCGCTCTAGGGGATGGTGAAGCAACGTGCCCATGAGACACTTAGACTGTCTTTCTTGCTCTATGTACTTGCAATCCTGTTGACGCTCTAGAAAGAATCACCACACTCACTTCAAACCAACATCAGTTCATTCGTTGCCCTTGGCTTTCTGATGGTGAGACACGACTATGGCTCCGCTACCATACCAATCCTAATCCAGCATCCAGCTTGCTACGAAACCGCCCAATAATCTTAATACTGCAGAATTCCAGCCTCACCATGGACGACCTCAGCGGCCTGAGCTTTACCCCCAGCTCGTCCAACGAGCCCAAGAAACCGCCACCCATGAGCTCCGGCACGCTATTCCCCGACGTGCGGCGCAATGACAACTCTGGCCGGACTACGCCTCTATCCACCTCGTCGGGACGCTCGAACACTCCCTCCAAGCCGGCAACCCCGGCCGGCGACAGTTTCGCGAACCTCGTCTCGTTCGGATCTTCCAATCCCAACAAGAATCTGTCCCTCGCCGAGCAACAGAAGCGACTGCAGGAGGAAAGGGCCAGGAAGGAAGCGGAGAATAGAAGTCGACTTGAGACGCAGTATGGTGCGCAGAATAATCAATTCTGGGATACTCTAGAGAAGGGTGGTAAGCCTGCCGCGCCTACTCCCTCTCAGCAGCCACAATCTCCCGATGAAGACGACATTCTAGCTGCCTTCAACGCCACTGCGCCGGTGGACGCATCGACGCATTTCCCAATTCCCAGTCACAGCCCGTCTCCTCATGTTGGAACGACCCCGGTGCAGCAGCCTGTTTCCACTAAACCAGCTCCGGCACAAGATCCCATGGCCATCTTTGACGATGACGACCCGTTCGGTCTCGGTCAGATGCCTTCTAAGCCGGCTCCAGTACCGCAGCCTGCGCAGGACGACGACGATTTTCTTGGAGAACTAAGTAAACCCGTTACGGAATTCTCGCGACCGGAACCGCCGCCCAAGCCTAAGGCCCCCGAGCCCGAGCCCGAGTTCGAGTCCCAGTTCCAGTCCCAGCCCCGGCCCCGAGCCCCACCCAAACCATCAACTGGAGTAGACCGGGCGATTGCAGAACTCGTGGATATGGGATTTCCCGCGGATAAAGCAAGCCAGGCATTGAGCACGACGGCTTCGGGTACCGATATTCAAGCGGCCGTTGGCTGGCTTCTTACCCAGGCGCACGAGGAGTCTCGACAGAAGACTGGTCGGAGATCAAGGCTTGAACCTCATCCTAGTGAATTGGAACGGAGCAGGGAAAGAGGTGCAAGGAGAGATCCGTCGTGGATGAGAGAGGAGAGACCTACTGTGACCAGAACCCGCAGTGACAACAGATCACCTGCTTCTGCGGAGAAAGATCCCGCCCAGGTTGCTGCTAGCTTTGGCAACAACTTTCTGAAAACCGCCAACTCTTTGTGGAAAACCGGGAGCAAACGCATGCAGCAGGTAGTCCAGGATCTGAATGCGGACCATGATCCCAATCAACCCCGATGGATGAAAGAAGCTGCTGGTTTTGAGGAGCCACTTCCGCAACCACGCCCTCGTGGCCGTCAGCAGCCCTCTGAGCCTCAAGGAAATGTCCCAAGGATGACTGACGAAGCCATCCTCCTTGAATCAGGGGGTGCTCCTTCTCGTCCGTCTCGCAATGCCCCATCTCGCAACCCCTTCCAGCAGCATGATGTACCGCGTCCGACTGCCAGCAGCAGTGATCTCCGAAGCCAAGCTTCGTCCCGAGAAAGACGCGAGCCGCAGCCCTCTTTTCTTCGACAACAGACAAGAGAGGAGTCGAGAGATTCAAGGTCCCGTATCAACAAACTCGCAGTGGAAGAGCAGTCGGCACAAGCATACGTCAGTCCTGCTAGGAGGAAACGGCCAGTCCCGTCACCTGCGCCTGAACCAGCTGTCGACCTATTCGATTCGCCCGCACCCACTAGTCGACCAACACCAAAGCCCTCTCCTTCTCCGGCTCCGCCCTCGCGGCCTTCTACTACGCCGTCTATTGCTTCCCTGCCAACACGGCCCAGAGCACCCCCGCGGACGATACCCCCTGTTTCCCAAGAAGCCCTTGCCTCGACTAATCGGCACCGCACCAAAGCAGCAGACGCTTACAAACGAGGTGACTACGCAGCAGCCCATGAGAGCTTCGCAACAGCCCTCACAATGCTCCCCGACAAGCACCCAATCACCATAATCATCCGCAGCAACCACGCAATGACAGCCCTGAAAGTCGGCGAACCCAAATCCGCAATCACTGACGCCGACGCAATGCTCGACCTAATCGGTCCATCCAAAGGCGAAAACGAACAAATCGACATCGGCAACACCGAACCCCCCAAACCAATGAAAGACTTCTTCGGAAAAGCCCTGATGCGCAAGGCAGAAGCCCAAGAACAGCTCGAACGCTGGGCAGACGCCGCCAGTACATGGAAACTAGCAGTGGAAACAGGCCACGGCGGTGGCCAGAGTATCCAAGGCCGCAACCGCTGCGAGAAAGCTGCTGGAACCAGCAAACCGACCTCCAAACCCTCGACTCCCGCAAGAAGACCACCAGCGCCAACACCCAAAAAACCATCCGCCCTGGCCGATCTCACCGGCAGCGCCGCCGCATCTCAAAACTCCGAAGCAGTCACCCGCCTCCGCGAAGCAAACCAAGCTGCCGAACGCGCGGACGACGAGAAATTCGCTCTCACCGAATCCGTCGACGCACGACTCGCCGCTTGGAAGGGCGGGAAACAGGATAATCTCCGCGCTCTGCTGGGTAGTCTGGATACAGTCCTGTGGCCTGAGGCGGGGTGGAAGAAGGTTAATATGTCGGAGTTGATTATGCCGAATAAGGTCAAGATTAATTATATGAAGGGGATTGGGAAGGTGCATCCTGATAAGGTACGCCCCTTTAACAAAAAGTCTCTGTTTGATGAAAGGTGAAGCTAACGTGATTAGATTCCTACAAATGCTACTACTGAGCAGCGGATGATTTCAGCGAGTGTTTTTGCGACGTTGAATGAGGCGTGGGATAAGTTTAAGAGGGAGAATAGTCTTTGAGCAGTTTTTGCTAGATTCATGTGTTATTTTCTTGTCTTTTGTATTCAAGCATGGTTTCAGCTCGATCGATGTTGTAAATAGATAGATTTGCATTCGCATGTGAGGAATGAATGATGGCTTGTCTTGTCTTATTGATCTAGACTAGGATTATACATACACATGCACCGAGACTCGAACTAGTTTACAAAACCAACTATAGACCAAACCTAGTAATATATAACGAACCCAATGCAAGCCAACTACCCCTCCTTCTCTCCCTGCTCCCTCGCCTCCCTAGCCTCCCTCGCCTCCCTCTTCAACTGCTTCTTACTCTTCTGCACCCCCGCCTCGCTATCAACCCTATACGACGGCCACCGCTCCCGACACTTCTTCTCATCATCCTCAGTCCAGTCGCGCGGGAGAACAGCGAAGAGAAGATACGACGTATGCATTTTAAGATCTTGCTCGGAGCGGTGCACCAAACGACCCTGGCTATATGCCGGGATGGAGGATTGTAACTGCGAGTGTAATTGTGCCTGCGCCTGCTGTGATTGCGATTGCTGTTGTGCTGTTGTCGATGATTGTTCAGTGGGATCGAGCCCCGCAGCCTCTGCCTCCCGAAACTTCCTCGCCCGCTCATCAACAAACCGCATTTTTGAAATCGCCTCGTCCACCGATTTCGGAAACACAGTTGCACCCCTGATCCCCTCTGATTCAAGACCGTAGCGTTCGCGCCGCGCTTCGATGCGGTGGTGGTTTACCTCGACCATTTCGATGTTCAGCCAGCCTTGTTGTCGGAGGACGCTGATTGTGCGCTGGACTTGTTCGAGGCATGGCGAGAAGGTGCAGATGTAGACTGGGGAGGCTGGGTCGAGGGGGGATTGTTTCCCATCTTCTGGGGTGCGGGTGAGGTGTTTTAGGGCGAGCCAGGGGGCGGGGAGGTCGAGGAAGATGGCGGATGCTTTGGGGGATTCATTTTCGGTTTCGGTGCCGCCCGGGAGGAGGAAGCCGTCAGCGTAGACGTCGCGGTGGTTAACGCGGACGATGTCGTCGAGGCCGTGGTGGTGGATTTCCTCGCGGACGCGCTCGACTCGTTGCGCGTGGAACTCGAAGCTGCACACTTTGCCGAAGCGGCGGCGTTTCTTTGTCGGTGGTGTGTTGTCGGCGGAGGGGTAGCCATTGAAGATTGCGCGTGCGGCTGCATGTGTGAATGAGCCACTACCGGCTCCTGCTTCGATGATCGTGCCCCCGGGACGGACTCGGAGTCGGTGGAGGATGTAGCTGTAATCCGGTGTATAGACGACCTGCGTCCGATGCGGGAGCGACGCAGTCCATGTTTCCGGCGTGGGGTAGAGAAGATGACAGAATCCACTCGACGCTTGCACGGCAGCTTGTAACTGCGGCTGAGGCTGCGGTTTTGCCTGCTGTGCTTCTCCCTCGCTGCTAGCATTGCTATTCGCATTCTTCTTCTCCAGATCCGCGGCCTTGCGCTTGAGATGCGTTTTGCGCCCGCGCGACCCCGTGTCGACCTTTGATGCGACGATCTGCGTGCCCCATGGTTGATCGAGGAGAGTACTGTGCGGGTACGAGCCGAAGCGTGTTGTTGTGACTTTGCCTTCTTTGTAGCCTAGGTTTTCGTCGTCGTGAATGCGCAGGATTGTCGGAAGGGCGTTGTCTCTGCGAAGGTGTAGGAGGGCGAGGGTATCGGGTTGCGCCCGGGTGCCGGGGGTTAGGAATGGAGAGGGCATTTTGTTGTCGCTCTATGGATATAGAGTGTTATCGCGTTGTATAGTAGAGCAGAACCTGGAACTGGCAAGATAGCGCAGAAATCTTGAGCTTGGAAAATCATGACTTAATGTAGTAGGCGGTAGGGCATAGGGCATAGGGTATGCAAATTGTGCCAAGGCTGGCCAATCAGTCCGATCTTACTCCGTAGAGTCATCTACTGCAGCCCCTCCCCCTCGTTTCCCTTTGTTTTCCTGCCCTTCCTTCCCTTCTCTCTACTTTATGCCCCTTTCCTCTCCCCGAATCCGATCTACTCTCCTCTCTCTAACCTACCTGTCCAAATCGCGCTCGCAGCGATTGCCCTGCTATACCTCTTTGTTTTTTGCTAGAACGACATCCAGATTCATGACCACCGCGCGCCAGCAGCCGCCATGGCGGCAACCGCCCTCGCACTCTGAGGCCAACTCGCATCTGCCAGCATTGAAAGTGTGGAACTCGCTGACCCGCACGAAGACGCCGTTTATCCCGCTCGACAAGGAGGGGAAGAAAGTGACTTGGTATGCGTGCGGACCGACGGTGTACGATGATGCGCATCTGGGACATGCAAGGAACTATGTTAGCACGGATATTATTCGGCGGATTATGCGGGATTACTTCAAGTTTGATGTGAATTTTGTAATGAATATCACGGATGTGGATGATAAGGTATGTTGTGGTGCAGGTGGGGGAGTTTGAGGGTAGGGTCTGGGTATTGACAGAGGTAGATTATTCTGCGGGCACGGCAGCAGCATGTTTTTACCGAATTTGTGTCGTCGCATCCGAAGATTGATGGGGAGGTTTTGGATGTTGTTAAGACTGCGTACGCTGCGTACTTGAAGAAGAACCTTCCGTTGCTCGACCCCGAACTCCCCGTTTCTCAGTACCAGGACCAGGCGGAGAAGAACTATGCGGCTGTGTTGAATGGTGGACCCTTGCCGGGTAACGAGAAAGCGGGCGACGATGAGGCGAAGGTGAAGATGCATATCAAGACTGCTGCGTCGGCGGCCAAGGTTGTTGCGCAGGCAGAGCGCTCGGAGAATGTTGCGGATCCCTCGTCTTTTGCGGAGACTTTCTACACCGAATCTCAGGATCTTCTTCTTCCGTACCTTGATGAGCTCAAGGGTGCCTCGATCAACGCGGATGACCATGGGATATTCACCAAGTTGACTCGAAAGTATGAGGAGCGGTTCATGCAGGATATGAGAGATCTCAACGTGCTCGACCCTGACGAGTTGACTCGTGTCACCGAATACGGCTCGGAGATTGCCGACTTTGTTGAGAGGATTGTGAAGAACAAGTTCGGTTATGCTACGGAGGACGGGTCGGTCTACTTCGACATTGATGCTTTTGAGAAAGCGGGCCACCCGTATGCTCGGTTGGAGCCGTGGAGCCGCTCGGACAACAAGCTACTAGCGGAGGGAGAAGGTGCATTGACCAACAAGACTTCCGACAAGCGTTCCACCTCAGACTTTGCCCTCTGGAAGGCCTCTAAGCCGGGTGAGCCTAGCTGGGCCAGTTCCTGGGGTAAGGGACGGCCGGGTTGGCACATTGAGTGCTCTGCCATGGCTTCTGCCAGGCTTGGCCAACAGATGGATATCCACTCTGGTGGTATTGACTTGGCGTTCCCCCACCACGACAACGAGCTCGCTCAGAGTGAGGCATACTGGGCACACGCTCATTCGCATGAGCAATGGGTCAATTACTTCTTGCACATGGGCCACTTGTCTATCCAGGGATCGAAGATGTCGAAGTCGCTCAAGAACTTTACCACTGTTCGTGAGGCTCTGGAGCGCAAGGAGTGGACACCGCGGAGTCTGCGTATCGTCTTCCTGCTCGGTGGCTGGAGAGATGGTATTGAGATCACAGAGGACTTGATCAACACTGGAACTTCGTGGGAGGAGAAGGTCAACAACTTTTTCATCAAGATGAAGGATCCTTCGGCCTTGCAGGGATCCGGTACGGATACTTCTCTTGCCGCTGCGCTCGAGGGGGCCAAGACCGCTGTCGACGAGCAGCTCTGTGACTCTTTCAACACCCCCGGGGCTATGAACGCGATCTCTGAACTCATCACCAAGTACAACAGCGCTGATAAGTCTACCCTCAACCCCAAGAATGTCGAGGCTGTTGCGCGATTCGTGACCTCGATCGTCAACATCCTTGGTCTCAATGGCACTGCTACTGCAGACAGCACCGAAATCGGCTGGACTGGCATTGACGTTCCGGAGGAGGCCAAGCCTTACTTGTATCCCCTTTCATCTATCCGTGATTCGCTCCGTCAAGCTGCCCGATCCCAGGAAGGCGTTTCGTTCGGCCAGGTGTCGGAGATTGTGGACAAGGGTACCGTATCAGAGGAGACTTCTGAGGCGGCCAAACCTTACGCCATCCTGCTTTCCAATTTCCGGACCAAGGTGACATCTCTCGAGAAGTCCGACAGCCTTGGAAAGGATATTCTGTCCCTTTGCGACCGTGTCCGCGACGTCGACCTGTTCGATGTGGGCATCTACCTCGAAGACCGCGACAACCAGCCAGCTCTCGTCCGCCCCGTGACCCGCGAACTGATCCAAGCTCGTCAAGAAAAGGCCGCCCGCGCGCAGCAGAAATTAATCGAAAAGGCAAACAAAGAACGCGAAGCCCTCCAGCGCCTGGAAAAGGGCAAGCTCAGCCACCTGGAAATGTTCCGAACCAACGAATACAGCGCATGGGACGAAGAAGGCATGCCCACTCGCGACGCCGCAGGCGAGGACATCAACAAGAGCCGGACCAAGAAACTGCGCAAGGATTGGGAGAGACAGAAAAAGTTGCATGAGGCTTGGTTGGCGAGTCAGATGGGGGCTCAATAGGCATAGAGATGATTATGATGGGTTAGATGTTTGTATTCATGCATTGTTATGGCGTCGGTTATGGCCCTATATCCACTTTAGCGTTAATAAAAGTTGGCATGTGCTTCTATTCAGGTTTGATGTAGTACAACCCTAACTTTTAGCGCAATTCGTAGATGAAACAGAAGATGGATAAGATCCCCACATGTTCGAATTAGCCAATATCCCAGTCACGCTGCAGAAATAGCCTAATTACATCACCTGACTGACACGACAACGTCCCACCATGATTTATACAACCGACTTGGAATCATACCACCTTATCAATCCAACATTCAATTCAACGAACACAGATCCAAAGGAATCTAGGCTAGCAGTAAGAAATATGATTATCACCACGGGACTCGATTACCTCCGGACAAAGACTGTCGTTGATTGCGATACGTTGGATGAGCAGGGTATACATAACTTCCCTCCTGGACATTCAGTTCTACCCAGCTAACTGATAACACAATAGTCACCAAAACCTACGGCCCATTCGTCGACTGCACATCTAACCAGGTACCCCCTCATATTCTAGAATAAACTATACCAACGGAAGATATTTAATGAAGAAAAGGCCATCGCACACGGCGAACTATCCAAACCCGAAAACGCGGCTCTAAAAGCAGACTCCCTCGTCGAAGCGGGAAGGCTTCTGTCGAGGTTTGAGGGTGTTGATGTTTATGAGTTGGGTGTTGAGATTGCTGTACGCATCAGATTATATCTCTATCCGGATATAGGGTACTGACAAAATAGATGGTCAAACTAGCCCTCAAAATCCACCCACACATCACCGGCCACGTCCACATCCAGACGAACCCGTATTACTCGTATTCAACGGAGAAAACCATCGTTAATGCCCTACGTATTCCCCCTCCTTATTCCAAATAACCAGCCCCCCCAAAAAAAACTAACAAGCGAACAGGAATCGTACAGCTATTTCAATACTTTGAACCAGAATTCGAACAGACTCGCATCTGCATAAAAATCCCAGCAACATGGGAAGGCCTAACAGCATGCCGCGTTCTCGAAGCAGTGGGTGTGCATACATTAGCTACCACGCTGTTTAGCATGGCGCAGGCTGTGCGCGCTGCGAAGGTGGGATGTACATACGTTGCGCCGTATATTAATCAGTTGAGGGTGCATTTTGAGATTGGGTTTGCCTTCCCCCCTTCACCTTAACCAACCCTAGGAACGAAGAGCTGACGAGTTGGTAGGTTTACCGATCCCAACAAACTCCTCCCGTTGTGCGTGGAGATACAGAAATACTACGAATCCATCAACGCCAAAACACGCGTCCTACCCGCTAGTCTCACTTCTACATCAGAGATCTATGCCCTAGCGGGTGTGGACCATATTACTATTGCACCAGGGTTGTTGGCGCAGCTAGCGGAGGCTAATTCTACTCCGGAGGTGGAGTCGCTTTTTGATGTTGGCGCTGCTGCTGGGACTGGTGTTGCTGCTACTACTACTGGTGATGTGGGAAAGGAGGGCAAGGGAAAGGGAGAGTCGTGTGTGAACGACGAGTCTGCGTATCGGATGGCGTTTACGAGGGATTTGCATGGGGCAAGTGAGGAGAAGTTGTCGCAGGTGAGTTGCATTTTCACTGTTTTATGGGCGGGGTGGCTGACTGGCGTAGGCGATCAACTTGTTCTGCGATATGCAGGATAAGATGGTTCAGATTATGAAGCACGGGTCTACAGGGTGGATATGTTGATGTACTACTTACTGTACTACTGTGTGACTCCCGAGATGACTGATGCACTTGATTCATTTCTATCTATCCTAAGTATCTGCGCTGCGCTGTGTAAAACAAACTAGCCTGACCTGGCCCGCCACCCAAACATACCTGAAGGCATCACATATTTATCCATACCATACCCATACCATACCCATCATTCATATTCACCATCAAATACCACCCACACCAAGACCAGTAATCCACCTCCGGACACCATACGAAGCCAACTCATCTGCATTTCTTTTCTCTTCTTTTTCGAGCAGAAACACGCTCAACGCCAGCTATGCAAGTAGATCGATCGCAAGGATATATGCTTTTTACCAATTGCTTTGCTTCTTTTCTTAACTCAACTCAACTCAAGACATGGCGTCGCCATGTAGCAAGATATCCATCAACATCAACATCAATCGGACAATAGAAAGGTAATGAAGAGTAAAGCGAAGTATAGGAATCAAGAGATCAGTTCACAACCAAACCGTGGGGGAATCTAAACCAAACGAAGAAAAGAAAAACGGTTGGCAGGAAACAACATAAAAAAGACATAATTTCAAACAAGTCGTATCAAGTAATGTAAGTAACCAATCACGCGCTCAATCGTTGAATAAAAGATGGGAAAAACTGCCGGAAACCCTTAACATCCGAGCCCCCCAAAGCACCCACAAACTCCTGTATAAGATCCGCGCCCATGCCCATACTGGGCAATTCCTGGTTCCGCAGATACTCGAGATACTCCATGCCCGTTTTCGCGTAGATAGTCCGCTGCAGGCCTCCTGCTTCAGCGAGGACCTGTCTTGCCTGTGCGTCTTTGGAGTTGAAGGATGGCGTTGCCGGGAGGGCCCAGCAGAGTGGGGAGAAGCGACTGATCATGAATTGGCCGAAGCCGGGGAGGGTTACGCCCTGGGGGGATGTCCCGTTTGAGGCGTCGGGGGCGAGATCCGGGCCTCCCCAGGAGCTGCCCATTTTCGAGAGGAGGGAGAAGGCCATTTTGGCGGTGGTGAAGTCTTCGATGTCTTTGGCGAAGTGTTCGATGGTCGTGATAAGGGTTTCGAAGATGGGTTGGTTTCCTAATCTGTCAGCACCGCGGATCAAATAAGTGAAAGGAAGGGACATACGCTCGCTAATAATAACAGCCCCAAGATCATTATTCAACACAGCAAGCAAAAAGTTCAAATACTCCCTCTTCAACTCTGCCAACTGAATCTCATCATCCGTCCCGCTAGTAGGATTGGCAATACCTGCAAACACCGTTTGCAAGAAAGGCGTCAAAAGCGTATCCAGAATAGGGAAAGTCTCCCCCTTGAATCCGAAAATCACCTGGTCCAAAAGACGCAGGAAAAGAGCCATCTCATCTCTCGACGAAGTCTGCGTAAGAAGACCGTCAATCCACCGCGGCAGCTGCGGGAGAATCCGCGAACCAAGTACACCGATGAGTCTGGAGAAGGCGAATCGGGCGGCTGTCCGGATGTTGAAAGAGGCTTTCAGAGACTCCAATGCAACGAGAGTGACTTCAGACACCTGGCCAAATGCTTCAGAGACCTCAGGAGGCGGAAGTGATGAAGGAGAGTGAGTTCCTGGCACCCAGTCCGAGAACCCTCTGGCGAGGGTCCCGAGCGCCATGATATCATGGTGTATTTGGAAAAGAGCTCGCTCATCGCTGGCCTTGGCAGCTTCGAGATTCCTCTCCATGTCAAGGAAGATAGGGTTCGAAACCGACTGAGCGAAGAGAACCTGCTTGTCAACGGACACCGCCGGGGTCGAGCAGATAATTCCAACAGCTTCAAACAGGTAGAGCTGGCTGTTGAAGATGGCATCTGCGAAATCATGATCATCAGACGACATCTCGTCGCCATCCCCTCCCTCAGAAGGCAATTCAGCCTGGATGACCAACAGATCGGCCAGAGCCTCGACAACCGTCTGCGCAACATTGCCAACGTTCGACCGCAACTGCTTCACTAAGCGTTGGAACAAGTACCACGACCGAGTCTTGACCTTCTTGACGGGATGGTGAGCCAATTGAAGGAAAGCTTCCAGAACCCCAGGAACAAAGTGCGTGTGGTATTGGAAGAACGAGCTATAGCGCACACAGATCTCCATATACTGCAGCTGAGTAGCCGGGTGCGTGAAAAACCTAATGTCCGACTCAACCATCCGAGCCATCATCTCCACCAATCTCTCCGCAGCAGCGTTGTTCGGCTGGTTCTTGGTGTAAAGACCACCAGCCCTGACAGCAATGTCACCGAACAGGAACATCTCGTGCAAGGCAAGGTCCAAGTCCCTCCAATCCATCTGTCCACCCGATTGCCGCAGGTTCTCAAAGGTCGTTCCAACCAACTCCGAAATAGCCTCCATGTACAGCTGCTCGTTAACGGACGCAATGATCTGCTGGAGATTAGCCAGCCGCTTGCGGAGTTCCTGGAATTCTGCCTCGTCTGTTTGTTCGTCTTCCTCGCCCCATGTCGAGGTCTCGTCGTAGCGCATCTTGGCGATGATGGCCTTCAAGATCGGGAGGAGAATGGCGGATTGCTGAGCAGCCAAGGTAGGGTTGATCTTGGCGATCTTTCGGAAGTAGGAGAGGAGATCGTTGACACCGGGGATAACCGTCGAGCAAACTTCGTCGTATTCGTCGGAGAAGAATCGGAGGATATGCGGCAGGAACACTTGCAACAGACCGCTTGCCTTCTCCTTGCACTCTGCCGTGACCCCGTCCTGCTCCAAGGCCCGCACGATATCGGCAGTTGTGATATTGACAAGCTTTGCAACGGTTTCCGCCAGATCGGTATCGTACTTGAAAGTGAATCGGTTCTCGTAGAGCGGCGGGCTGTTCGACAATTGGGACACGATGGTATCGAGGTTCAGGAAAGCAATCATTTCAATCTTATCCTCCGGCTTCATCTTCTTACCGATGATCTCCGTAAAGACATCGATCGCAGCATCCCGTACCTTTTCTTCCCCAGCTCTGAGTTCCGCCCTTTGTGCCCGCGTGAGTTGCTGGAACAGCAGATCCATCATAGTCTGATTGATCACGAGACCAATATCAATCCAGCTAACCCAGCTACCCACGGCCCTCAAAGCCATCTCCACAATCATATCACTCCCGTCCCGCCACTCAGACAAAATCTCCTGCCAGGAACTGGCAATCTTCTGCATATCCCTCTGCCGGATCAAGTCCTTGAGCGCATTGGCCTTATCCTGCTCCCCACGGGACCGAGAAACCAACACATCACCAATCTCATCGTGGATCGAGTTGACGACTCGGAGGTAGAAGACGATACCGGACGGGTTATCGCGTGCGGAGCTAGACGGGGACTTGTACGTCAAGGAAAGGAAATCATCGAAGAAGGTCTCCCAACCATTGGCGTAGAGAGCGGAGAAGAGGAAGGTAAGGGTCTGAGCGACTTTATTCTGGATATTTGGCGGGTCACCAGCTGCACCGTTTTGTCCGTACACCTGGCGGAGATATGCCATCAAACCATCCCGGACATAGCCCAGAGCCTGAATGTCGATGACGCCTGCTTGGGCGGCACTATTGACGACTTCCAGCGCAAAATGCCGTACGATTTCCGAGTGTTGGGGGGTCTTGGTGAAGAGGGCGAGGCAGACCTGCCATCCTGAGGGGTCGGAGCGGAGTTGGTTCAGATAATCGAAGGCTTGTGCTTTGAGGGCTTGGTCTGAGGAAGGGTTCCAGGCGATCTCAATGGCATTTGCTACCTATAGCGTATTTAGTTAGCATTGCAATTGATGCGTATAGGAAAGAGAGCATTTGGAGGGGCACAAGAAGATCATGGTGGGGTGCTCAAAAAGATAACAAGTTTTTGTCCACCAGACCGCACAGAGTATAAAGAACGACTCACCTGCTCTTCCATCTTCGACCAGCCGAACTGCCTAAAAGTCGGGGACAGACTCAAAGGCACAACAAGAGGTATTTTGTGTCGGAGGAGAGAGAGAGGAGGGAGAGAGGGAGGGAGAGCGAGGTAAGGACGGGGAGTGAGGGACGGAGCGGAGGGGAGGCGGGAAGGAGGAACGATACGTATGTCGATATAGGTATGTATGTATAGTAGTGGTATGTAGTTAAAATTGGCGTAGTGTGGAGGATGTTAAAGTGGTTAGAAAAAATCGTCACGGTGGAGGCTCATCGAGTAGTAGTGTATGGGACCGTTTCTGAATTTTTTTTTATTTTATTTTATTTTTTTATTTGCTGGTGGATCGCGAGTCAGACCCAGTCTTCGGTAAAATGGGTTGTACTCACCGATAGTGTTGTTTCCCGTGGTTTATATGGACTGTACAGAGTAAAAGAACAGAGTACTTGAAATATGACTCTTCTGTCGTTATAGTTGTTGTGCGGTTGTGTTTGCGATGACGAAGGCGTGCTTATAGAGGCCGAAAACTTTTGTGGGCGTGACTGACAGCGACCGAATCGGGCAACCGGCGACGTGACTATACGAATAGGTACAGTGTACAAAAAATACTTATGACTCAATTTAGTCTGGGGTAATAAAATCAAATTGCTTTTTTATATCTAACCCAAGTCTATCATATCACAATACTCGTCTACTGCTTCTGCCCCAACACAGCCCTCTCTATCTTCTCAAACCCCTCCACAGCCAACCCATACCTCTCAAACACTTCCGGCTGATATCCATCCGCAATCTTCTCAATAAACTCCTCCTCCCTCCACCGCTGCCCAATCAACCCCTCAAACGTCTGTCCAGGCTCCCTCTCCAATCCCCAAACAGCCTTATACGCCGCTCCCAACGCACACGCATTATCACCCACATCCAGCTTATACACACCGTCGATACCGCCGAGGACCTCACCAGCAACCTTGGCGATGGCGCGGTTCTTCGAGCCGCCGCCTACGAGGTACACGCGGCGGGGTTGCGCGGGGATGCCCACGCCAGGGCTTTCGGTTAGGCCGCGCGAGCGCAGGCGGAGGGAGAGGAGTTGGCTTTCGACGATGGCGCGGGCTTCGTCGGTGGGGTGGTCCCAGCCGTCCTCTGTTTCTGTGAGGGCTTTTGTGGAGGGGTTGTAGGTGAAGCGCCACTGGCCGGCGGGGAGGTTGGGGACGATTTCTGGTCTGGGGAAGAAGAGGCCGAGTTTCATGGGGTCGGTGTCGGATTTTTGGCCCATGGGGGGTGTTGCCAGTGTGGTCTTGTCGAAGTTCGCCCATGGTCCGCCTGGTGCTGAGGAAGAGGGGTTGCCTTGTTTCTCGTTGATGGCGTTGCGGACGTATTCTCGTGCTAGGCCGCCGTTCTTGTAGCATAGCATGAACATGTAGAGGCCTGGGGTTGTGGGGTGGTTGAAGAAGTGTGTTGCCGGGTCGGGTTTGTAGCTGGGGGTAGACATGAGGAAGGTCGTCGATGTTCCCAGGGACACCATTGCGTCTGAGGGTCGTAGTGGCAGGGCAAGGATGGTGGCCGGGTTGTCACCGGTTGAGGGAATCACTACACAGTCGGGACTGAAGCCATACCGGTCGACATAGTACCGGTCAATCATGCCCAGATGGAAACCGCCGTCCTCAGGAACAGGGCCCAGCTTTCGCTTCAGGTCCTCTGGACCAAACGAGCCTGCGCACAGCTTCAGAAGCTCCTCATGGTATACCCCCTTCTTGATATCCCACAGGTTCATTCCACAAACATCCGAGATATCAAACGGCGCAATACGGCCCAGAAGCAACGAAGCCAGGAACGAAGAAACAAGGGAAATCCTCTCCGTCTTCTGATATACATCAGGGTACTTCCTCTGGAACCTCATAATCTGAGGACCCGTGAACCTCTATACACATCGTCAGCACATACCCCACCATCCAACAGTACGAAAACACCTACATGATGAGCCTTACTCCCCGTAACCCGCGCCAACTCCTCTCTACTCCCCAAAACCCCATCAAACTCATCACACTCCCTCTGCGTACTCGAATCCTGCCAATTCGGACTAAACGGATGCGAAAAAGCCCCACTCAACTGCTCCTCCAATCCCCTCCCCGCATCCAACCCCTGCAACATCCTCTCCGCCTCCCGCCCCCAATAAACACTCCCATGCTGCTGCCCCGCCCCCGAAATCCCCTTCACGCGGCTAAAATCGAGACCCTGGGATTTAAGGCCCTCGAGAACGCCATCAAGAGCTTGCAGCCAGAGAGCGACGGGGGCAAAGACCTCGTGCTCGGCTTCGTTGGTCTGCACGCCTTTTCTGATGGGGTGGTTGTGGGAGTCGGCGTCGAAGTCGAAGATGGAGGTGTGGATGACTTTTAGGGAGGAGTTTACGACGAGGGCTTTGAGTTGTTGGGTTGAGAGGTCGAAGCCGATGTATAATGGGGTCGCCATTGTGGGGTATAGTATAGGTAGGTGGTTTGAGGTGGTGGTACGGTGTGGGATGGTGATGGTGAGAGAAATTGAAAAATTGGAAGGAATGGATTTTTTTAACACCGGCAAATATGTCGGGTCTATTGAATTTTGTTGTGTGATTGAAATTAATCCTTCGGGGCATTCTTATGTTGTGAACGGCGGGTGATGTCAATGGCCAAGCTCGCCTCCGGGAAATTTACCGGTTAATTGGAATTAACCGTAATCATACATGAACGAGCATGCTTGGGATGCTTAACTAAAGGCTATTTAGACTGTATTAAAAGATCTCAGCATGTTTGTATTGTATAGTCAAGGACAAACAATCTATTCCATTGCACAATATCTAACCAAGAATGTTCTAATTCAACAACAAAACACAGTCTTGTTTGTACCCTTCCATCCTCCATCCTGCTCATCTCCACCCAGGGTATCTTGTAATGGTCTATGCCATATGCCAAAATGACAATGCCTGCTCCTCCCAATGATAATAAATATTTAGAATGAAATCAAAGCCAAAACAGTTCAACGCCTCTTGGAATTCTCCTGGTCATGGTTATGTTCGTCATCGTGGTCATGCTCATGCTCGTGGTCGTCACCAGCCTCCGGGTTAGCTCGTGCGCTGGTCTCAGGAGTAATAAACTCCTCCGTAAAGTTCGCTTCCACCTGCTCCGAAGGCACGAAGCGGACCTTAAGACGCTTGACGCTATTGACACCCGCTCCAATTGCCTCCCGAACCGCGCTCTCGACCTCCCGAGATTGCTTAACGGACCACGATCCAGGCACGCCCAATTCAATCTCCATGAGGTAGTTCTGACCAGACTTCATACCCTGGACGTCACGGACCTCAACAGCCTTGTCCTGGATCTGAGCGAGAGCCTTCTTGGCCGCCTTGCGAACAGACCCCTTGATATCATCGTCCACGGTTGTATCGGCCAGTTCCAGCAACGAGGTCCGGGTGTTGCCCCATCCTGCCTTGATAACCATCAGAGAGATCAACAGGCCGCCCACAGGATCCAGCCAGGAGGCGTCCTTGAACACGTATGTACCGCCGATGGTGAACAGAGCCACGATACTGGTGAGGGAATCGATGCGGTGGTGGACGGCGTTCGATGCGAGGACGGACGACTTGCGTTCTTCGGCGATTTTCATAGCTATAAAGTAGAAACTCCGATTAGCCAGATTTCACGATCCCAGTTCAGGGGCACTCACTAGCACGATAGAGCCATTCCTTGATCACAATAGAACCACCCGCCAACCAAGCAGCATGAACACTAGGCCCCGACACATCAACTCCATGACTATGCCCATGTCCCAACATCCCCGAGTGCGCCAGCGCGTCCGCAGCGTCAGGATAAAACTGATCCAGCAACACCTGCCCAGCATTCAATCCCATAAACACACCACCACAAAGCAGCAGCCCACTAACACCCAGCGCACCAATACTCTCAATTTTCCCGTATCCGTTCGGAAATCGTTCGGAGGGCGGCTTCAGCGACCACGCGACCGTCCCGAGGGTCAGGAAATCGGAAACCAGATCCGTGAGCGCGTGGTAGGCGTCTGCGATCAGGGCCTGGGAATGGAAGACGTAGCCGCCGATGAACTTGCCAATTGCCATGGCGAGGTTGGCGATGAGGCCAATGCGTGTGATGCGGACGCCGGCGTCGAAGGTGTTGGTCGAGGTTAGGTAGACGTTGTCGTGGTGGTGGTGATGGTGGCTGTGGCCGCCGTGGCTGCCATGGCCTCTTGTTTGTGTTGCCATGAGGGGAGTAGTTTTTGTTGTATGGATAGGAAAGGTAGGTGTGGGAGTGGTTGTTGTTGTAGGAGTGGTTGTTGTTAACGGAGTCGGACGGACAGGGAGGCGGGCATTGGATGGAGAGTATTTAAGACGTAATGAGGCAGCTGAAGTCCGCAGAACACGGCGCTGAGCTGACGCACGAGCACCCGGAGAAATCAAGCCAGATCGATCTCGAAACGAGAGAGACAGCAGTAATAACGGAGACGAACACGACGCTGGTGACGAGCACGCTGGAGTATGGGAGGCCGACGGAGGACGGACCCTGCACCGCAGGGGCTGCGTCAGCGCCATTGAGACTAATTCTTCAGAGACAGTAATGGGTGCTTCACAATTGGTAGAGGGTTTCGTATTTCATATTATTTTCTAGTAGTAATTGTGTAGTTTTTGATTTGAAGAAGTTGTTGTTATATCCGGCAGGCGACTTCCGAGATGTGCTGACTGTCGCTGACTGAGCCATGATTCCATACAACTTCTACTACTACGGAATATGATCGTGGCAATCACAGCATTGCAATTACACACTCTCTCTCTAACCAATTCACCAACGATATCGCCGTGATTACCGTTCTTTTGTCTTGTGGCTTCTTTACCAGTGGCAATGCTCCCCCACGATCGAGGACTAGCCGGTCTCAGCCAAGAAAAGCAACACTAAACAAAATCTGCGGATGGCGCGTCAATTACGGGTCTGCTCGGTTTTGATTAATTCAGGCCCAAGAAAAATTTACTTTTTATACAGGGGATCCGTTAAGCTGGATTTCGGAACCTTTGAATTCTTCCGTATCTTCCGTGTTCCGTTCCGTTCGGTTTTTCTCGTAGATCCACTGAGCCGGGGGTACTCTAACCATTCACGCTAGGGCATGTGCTATTTTTGGTGTATCCTTGTTCATGTACTGACCAAGTCCTGCCCGCAATATATTTGTTTTGTTTTGCATGGCTCTCAACATCAGTGTCATGGCCTCGATGCAAGAACCCGGGAACGCCCAGCGCTGCGTTGCAGATATAGCAAGCGCCTAGAGACCATTAATGCCTGGCACATGTCCTTGCAACCAAGGGTTGAGTGCAGCAATCGTGATAATAACCGTAGAGGCAAAAATACTAAGCCATGAGCATTCATTTCAAGGACAATAGGAAGGAAGCACTCACGAATGGATCACAATCTCCGTCGACGCAGATGGCTCACGTAACCGAATCTCCGCAGCATGAACATACTGCCGACAACTGTGGATTACAGCCTGGCAAATTTCAACCAAAGACTGGGCGGTTTGAGCGTTCCTGGGAGACTGCATGCAAAGAGCAAGAAAGAGCGAAAAATGATATCCTTGGCAGAATGGTACCGAAGGACCATCAAAGCCGCGCGGATATCGACAGGTGGCTGTGTCAGGTCGGGCTTCATTATATGTGGGATTAGATTGAACCAGTTGTTCAGCTGCCCATCTAGTTCCGTTGAGACCTTCAAGGAGGAGCTCACTGCTCTGTGGATGGTTCTATCATCTTGACTATCAGAAGCGCACGCGACGTAGTTTGCTTGCAGCAGGTACTCATGGCCTACGTACATTGCGTGGTGGACACGGTTGAGGAGTCGGCGCGCAGACAGTTCAGCCAGCCATGCGAGCAGAGAAGCATTGGGCAGGTCCCCGCATAGTGGAAGGTTTAGCTTGTCGACAAGATTCTCCACGCCACTTCGCGGTAGGTGATGTTCTGCGATATGGTCACTATGCTTGTCAGCACCGTATACAACAATAATCGAACGGTATACTTACCATTCAAGAGCGAAAATTGCCCAGCATAACCTGATGAATGGCTGACATTGTGCCTCATCATTTTCTAGCGACGGTTTGGACCTGAGCCACATGGTTATCATATGCCCTCATATCATGCAAGCGAGCAGACTCACTTTATTCACAGACGCTGGAAACTGGTCGACGCCATGTGAACGAGTTTCCAGGCATCCAATGGTCGACCGAGATAGTTATAATACAAAGCTGCGAGGTAAAGGCACCGTGGAAGGACAATCGTGGTGATTGAGGTTCTCAGGTAGGTCTCAACAGAGATAGTCAGTGCGGGCAAGAAATATGTACTCCCTGGTGACCAGTCTGCATCAGGTGCTTCAAGACGCGGTGCACCTGCAACTGTATTATGTCATGTTCGGACACCCTTTTTGGTCTGATTGTGATTCATTGAAGAATGGTGTCGCCTGCAAATATAAGCAAGAATATCTGGAAAGGCTAGACAGATGTGTCAATTTGAGATCATCTGTGAGAGTCCATCAAATACTATTACTACAGTGTTTCAATTGCAAGGGACCTACAGGAAGGAAATGCTGTACAGTTAGGTTTTGGAATTTTTCCATCCTATTTTACTAGACTAATGCTTGGTACATCGCCTACATTATGCAAAGATAACACCAAAAGAATATATGTAATTATACTATAAAAGAATGACAGAGGTCAGAGCGAGAATGGAAGAAAAGTAACAGGGAAAAAAAAAAAAAAAAAAAAAAAAAAAAAAAAAAAAAAAAAAAAAAAGTATCAATGTAAGGTTTCGATTTCGATGGAGAATCACAGCCGAACACTGACAATCAATCAGCACATGGTAAGGGTAGAAGGGAATATACAAACACACCTGATATAAAACTCAAATCTAGAAAGCCCCCAAAACCATCGTCCCCAAAGCAACCGCCAACAACCCCAATCCCGACTTCGACACCCCCACTGTCGAAGCCATCCCAGTCGCAGTACTCGTGCTGGAGCTAAAACCCGAGCTTAAAGTAGCCGTACCAGTACCCGTACCCGAAGCCGTCACACTAGCCGTGGCCGTCGCATTTAACGGCGCATTGCAAATGACCTCGCCGTGACTAGCGCCATTGGTAGTAAAGCAAGAGACCAGGTCGCTGACAGACTGCTCCTGAGCCAGACAGTAGTAGTTGCAGCCGGTATCGGTTTCTTGGACGGAGGCTGGGTCGCAGCATTTGGACATGATGGCGGTGTTGTTGCTTCTGCTGGGGAGACCGCAGGCGACGTCTTGGATGGGGATGTTCCAGCCGCAGGAGGTGGAGGTTGATGAGGCAGCGGTTGTGGTGGTGGACATTTTGTTGGAGTTGAATTTGTTTGTACGTATGAATGATTGACTTGAGTGAGGATGAGGAGAGTGTTTTGACCGGAAGATGAGAGGTTCATTTATAGAACAATCGAATCAAGCAAAGTCGTTGGTAAATGTATACCCGGAATGGTTTCTGAATGGTCATGTTTCGATCTATAGATGAGCAGCAGTAGCGCTATATATAGTAATAGCTGCGCTAGAGGACTAGAGTATTGCTCTAAATAAAAGCATGCTCATGCATACAGCACAGTGTACCCCATGGGAGCCCTATGTCATTTTCCACACCGTAGAAGCTCTGGAATACGAGGAATCCACCTCGAAATTTTTATTATCCCTAGCCTGGACGCATAGATCTAATTTTGACCTCAGGAGGCTTAGCGTTCTAGAAAAGATTGATATCCGGACATGACTTTATCCACGACTCCACTATTTTGGGAAATCCCATGGGATATTTTAGGAAGATAATGCGGCAAATTACTTATATTAGACATCTCATAAATTACCTTTAGCTAGTGGATCTGTGTTATTCTTTGTTCTTTATTTGCATTCTTGCAGGGCCACCATACATATGCCTCTCCAATGAAGATGTATTTCTCCCCATCCTTCCTGACCACATATAGTGTCCGGCCACTTTTCAGGATGACAATACTATTCCCTTCCTGCGCATGCCCCAGAGTCAAACAGAGATGCCTGTCCCGGAGCGTGGACGCTCAAGGCATATTTGATTACTTAGGCTTGTTTGGAGTAGGGCACAAACCCCTTTGCACACACTAGATAGCTCAGTGTCGGCAGGCCCTGCCTTCTTCCTTCTCCTCGTCAGATAATCTACCAATAGAGTAATATTGCTCGTGACCGTCACAATGTCCATCTTGGTGATGAATGATGATCGAGTGATGATATGTGCTGTGTATCCCAAGCAGGAATAATATCTGGGAATTGTCTCTAAAACTAACAGTCATACAGCAAAAGTAGCATGCAATAAAACTTGCAAGTAGATCTCGAGCCCCAACTTAGTCACAATACCTGTGGAATTAGCGATTTGTCTGTCGCGGGTTGGAAGATCGGGCCCTTACCAAGATTGAATTGAAAGAAGAGACCGTTCAGGCTGGGCCCGAAGCCTCTGTTGAACTAGTTAGAGAAACGCACAAGCGGAATGTTGATATCTGCATGGGTTACTCACCCCCTATATAGCGGGGAAGCCTTACTGTCGCTCATAGCTCCCATGCCAGTGCGAAGTAACTCCCCATTCGGTAGAACGACCTCCATACCGCACTGGGACTGCGTATGCTCGCCGTTGGGTGTATATCCGAAACCACGGTCAACTGTGTTGCCCAAAACTTACCCCCATCCCATTGCTGGGACGGAGGGCCAGAGATTAAACCCTCTTCGTTGGATTTCATTGAAAAGATCAAAGAAAGACACTCCTGGTTCAACAATAGCGTATCCGTATTCCTCATTCACTTCCATAATGTTCTTCATCTGTTGAAGATCGAGGATTACACACCCCTTGGTCACCGAGCCCGATCCGCCGTATCTTTTGGCATTGTTAGTAAGAAAAGGAGGCAAAATATGAGACTTACCCCAAGTTTTTCCCCCGGGAAACAGTCCACAATGGGACTTTGTAGACATTGGCTAGCTTTACAATCTGCCGGACCTGCTCTACTTTGCTTGGTCGGACTGCACCGCTAGGCACGTGGCTGCCCGTGGTGGAAAATGGATCTCCGTAGGAATCTTGACCCTGGGGACCTTGCAGAGCACCATGTTGCGATGTCCGAGAAACATTCTTCTCCCCAGTAATACCACTAGCAGCGTCGAAGAAACTACACAGCGCCTCACGGTCCGGTGAAGTAGATCTCAAATGCTCGGGCATTGTATCGTTGGTTGCTGTTGTCACAAATTGGATGCCCTCCAGGATGCAGTAATATAAATAGTCATGGAAAGGGCAGGTGACCAGAGCTTCTGGTAATAAAGAGAATCCCTAGCTACATATTCTCCGTTTCGGGGATATCGGGGAAAACTGGTGGAGGATCTCTCTCGCCCCAGGTCCGGGACAGGACTCCCCCAACACCCCCTAAACAATCTCAGACTGACATGAGCAGGTATTCCGAAAGACCCATCTAACAAAGTACATAGTATAGTACTTTAGCTTACGTGTTCATCCTATCCACCCGATACTATAGTGCGAACGGCCAGAATGTTAAGGCGAGGGAGTAAACTATCTTAGAATTGGAAATTTTGGATATTACAGTCTCGGCTAAGTCACTACTGGAAATTCTCAATTTGGGCACATGTTATCAACTGCTATTGCAAAACCGAAGGAAGAACCTGAAAATGTACTATCCTCATTACCCCACAGTGAGCCTCGGGGGTGTCGGGGATGCCGGGGAAATGAATAAGTTTCAAGGTTGTCCCTCTCCCTCCGCAAAATAAAGAACTCAGTATAAATCCCAAAGACTGGTGCTTCATAGCTTGTACGTCTCTTCCTGGATAAAAACCAGTATCTATTACTTATTTCGTTTCGATATACAAACGCTCAAAACATGGATGTCCAGCCTAAATCGTTTTTCCCGGATCGTCCCCAGTTTTCTGGGTTCATGAAGCCCTGCCGAATAGAGGGTAAAATTCAGAAGCTGGAGGTATATGGTGAGATTCCAAACGACATTAATGGAACTTTCTACAGAGTGATGCCAGACCCTCAGCTGCCTCCATTCATAGAGAATGACCCTGTATGGATGTCACTCTCTCCTGATACGGGAAAGTGAAAGAATAATAACTCATGAAAATAGTGGTTCAACGGAGATGGCAATATCAGTGCCTTTGAGATCAAAGATGGGTCCGTCTCGTTTCGACAGCGCTACGTGAGAACGGAGAAATTTGTTCGCGAGCGCGAAGCTCAGCGTGCATTAATCGGTCAGTCTCCTTGGTATTCCTGAGGAATAAAACAATCGACTTACCGACTTGTAGGCAAATATCGAAACAAGTACACAGATGCCGTGGAATTCAAAGTTCGGAGCACAGCAAATACAAATGTCGTCCATTTCAATGGTCAACTGCTAGCGTTGAAAGAAGATTCGCCTCCCTACGCCTTAGACCCCATCTCCTTAGAGACGAAAGGGTCTTTACGATTTCCAGGGACAGCTGCCTAGTATGACATTTACAGCTCACCCCAAGTTCGATCCGGTAACAGGCGAGATGATCTGTTTTGGATACGAAGCCAAAGGGGATGGAACACCTGATGTCTGTTACTACAATACTTCTCCGGATGGCAAATTCACCGAGGTGGTTTGGCTTGTTGCCCCAGTTGTTGCTATGATCCACGATTTTGCTGTCACCGATAATTGGGTATGTTTCTCTATGGAACCCTAACGCAATGACGAGATGCGTAGATAACTTACATATCACAGGTTCTCTTCCCCATCATTCCTCAGGTCTGCGATATCGGGAGGTTGAAACAAGGTGGTGAGCACTGGCAGTGGAGCCCTGAAACTCCATTTTATGTCGGTGTCCTTCCTCGACGAGGCGCAAAGCCGTCCGACGTGAAGGTATACTTCCATTCCGCTTTCATTATACGCTCTTACTTTATGTCCGCAGTGGTTTCAATACAAAAACTCTTTTCCGGGACATACTGCTAATGCATATGAAGATGACTCCGGAGATATCCACGTCGATCTCGGACTAAGTGAGAAAAATGTGTTCTTTTGGTGGCCTGATGCTGAGGGCAATTCCCCGCAACCCAGTTCAATTCTATCCCAACTGGTCCGATTCACGATCAATCCCCAGTCAGATGATCTTAATCTCCCAACCCCCAAAATTATCCAAAAAGACAACTCGGAGTTCTACCGCATTGATGATCGCTTTGCCACTCATCATTATCGCCACTGTTTCTTCAATCTGATGGATCCAAGCTTGGGCACTGATTTCGCAGCAATTGGACCAAAATTGGGTGGCGGTTATCCAGTTTATAATTCTCTAGCTCATGTCGGTGTTACAACAGGCTCGACAGAGATCTACTTCCCTGGCAAAACACACATGGTACAAGAGCCGGTATTCATCCCTCGTGAAGGTTCAACCACGGAAGGCGATGGCTACGTACTGGCGCTGGTCAACAACTATGATACTATATCGAGTGAGTTGCATTTGGTGGATACCAATGATTTTTCCAAGGCAAAGGCCATCATTAAGCTTCCGGTCCGTTTACGCCAGGGCCTGCATGGAAATTGGGTGGATGCTCGGGACCTAAGACAATGAGTTGCATCTGACATTCTGAACGCCTAATGCGCTCGCTGGAGGATTGATCGGTACCCTGGTTTGCGACTAAAGATTAATGCTCATTATATGCCTATCGTGAAGCTCTGGGGTGATTCTTTTGAACCTGCGAAGGTGTTTATAGTTATATTGATGTCAAAGATTAAGCGAGAAATGTATATTTGTTGTATAAGTATCTATTCGACAGCCTAAGCTTGTGGGCACTCCGGATGAAAGCATATCATTTACACGGCTTCATAAACATTAATCTCAACATATCCAGGCCTCTGAGGTTTCAGGTCTCCAAGAAACACCGTGCTGACCAACTGGCGGTGTTTCTCATTGTCTGTAACGATCCCGAATCGGGTATTTGTTCGGGTGTACCGTCGTCCGCTTGGTTAGTAGAACGAGCGACGAGGTGCACTAACCCGGGCTCACCCCATATAATTTGCTTCTCCTATAAGGCAAGTACATACGACCATAGGGTGTGGAGAACAGGGCTTCCCGTCCGCTCAGCCGTACTTAAGCCACACGCCGGCCGGTTAGTAGTTGGGTGGGTGACCACCAGCGAATCCCGGCTGTTGTATGTATTTATTTCATTTCATTTTTTTTTTGCGCTGAACCAGCCTGCGACTCTCAGCTGCTGGGTCTAATCAATAGTTATAATCGCTGATAATGCAATCGAAAGCGCGTGGCTCATTGACCTCTCGTAAAATCCCCTTCCTGATATGTTTGAGAAGATCCGAAGGTACACGACTTCTCTTAATAGTAATATGATAAACGGGTTCTGTACCCGACTCTTGCCGGCAGCTGATGACATTCGCTAATAAATTTAGCTTAGGGGAATTGATCCAATATGCCTTGTCTCTCTGCAGCGTGCATCCTTTCCCTGCATTTTCCGCCAAGTAATACGGGTGAAAAATCTCAAGCTTTGTCGACAAGGAAAACGCCTGTAGGGGCTTCCATTCATCCCTGGGACACTCTCGGCTTGTGGACTCGAAACAATGGCGAGATATGCACGCAAACGTGGCCGTCAATGATGAATCGCTGAGTACTCTGGTCCACGGATGATGATAAACAGAGAATGTCAGCTTCTCCACGGTTCTCTTATGTGAGGGCCATGCGACTCCTATTTACCGTTTGCAGATATCCTTGTGTGCTCTAAGATTCTAAGTGGTTTTCGGAATAGCGTCAGAACATGCTCTTGTAACCCGTATTTGATCTCCGGAGTACCCTTTGCCCCTTTAGGAACCAACAAATCAAACCAGGTTAGGAGACACTCATTTCCACTCATAATCCGTGCAAAATCCTCCAGTGAGGCAGCGCGGACTCGACCTTCGATTAGAGGAACTTCCAAGGGTGAGCAGTTAATGCAGAGAAATGCAACGACTCCTCTTAGTCTAATGCGAGTCATAACACCAGTACAAAGACAAACAAACATGCCCCACATGTGATCCAAGTTGGTCATTTCAATTTCGAACAATGCAGTAGAATTCAAGATGTGCTCTTTGACCGTGAATCCTGGGACTATCGCGAACGTTGCTTGTGCAATGAGATTCACATATTCGCCGGCTTGTAAGCCAGCAGTAAAAGACTGCAATTTGACTGATGGATCCATTGTGCCCAAGATTCTTAAACAACTCGATGAGAACTGATCATGCATGCTATGATTGGAAGTGCTCACACGATGGGTTTTGGACACAGGCTACTGATCCCAGCAAACCTAATTGGGATATGAATATCAATGCCTTCAAGCGGCCATACGTCTCGATCGAATTCTGTATCTGGATGCCAATGCCATTTTTGCACGCCAGCGACGGTTTCATATGTCGACCGTATGATACCACCTTGAGCCCTAACAGCATGTATCACCGGTGTGTTGCTTGGATTTGGATTCGTAAAAGTGTCCCACCAACTCTGTCCTTCATCACGCCTGGTAACAATCAACTCTGCCCCCCCCCACATGGTTACAAGCTGAGCTATTGTCGCCACGATATCCAGACGATTATCTGGAAGCCTCTTCCGATTTATGACCTTTAAATCCGCTCTGGGCCTCCAACTTAACGGTTTCAAGAATAGAGCCGATCATTCTCACCAATGGCAAGAGGTTGCTTTTTACATTGAACTCCCACAGGCCGCGCTCTCTGGAATAATAGAATCTGGAATAGCCGCGAGCAAGTGACATCAGTCCCATCATCATAGTAGTCACCCAGTAGATCGCCACAGCCAAACTGAGACATCCAATGGTCGCATTGATCGTATTAGCGGCTTCCTGTCCCGGGCCATGAATCCTATAAAATGAAATGTCAGTGACAAGTCGAGGGTAGCGGCAGTAGACCGTGTAAAGAAATGTGAAGCTAAGCCAGGCCCAAGCCACAGGGCGAATGGCTGCAGCATATTGTGACAATCTCGACGGATAGAGTTGAAAAGAGGCAATGAAGAGCCACGCAATGAGAACAGCAATGGCAACAACCGCAACGTCATCCAACAGGATAATCCATAAAACCGGTAGATTCGGCCCGAACGATGTGTATGGACAGCAAAACAAGCTGAGCAACCCCGCAAGGAGAGTGCCTAGCCAGTGTAAATATACCAATATCAGCTCCATGCTACTCGAAGGACTGGACCGTCCGTGCGCACGACTATTCGAGACTGCTTGTATGGCGAGCCCAATAATCTCGTGAGATTGTAAATAAGCAGTTCCCAGAGCCTTGATAGCTTGGACCTTGACTGAGCGCATCTCGACATAAACTTCCTTATCATTCTCTTTCATAGCCGAGGTATGAAGAAACAAGACATCATCAGTGTAGGGACATCCTTCCCGTAGCTCTTCAAGCTTTGATAAAATGATGGAACATGCGTGAGCGATGTGGGATGTGGCATCTTCCGTACTGGGAATTCACGGTCAAAAGCGAAGTGTTTGGTGATCTCTCCACTATCTTGGGGCAAGTTTTGAATGCAGACTGCACACCGCATGTGATCACAGTCACGGGATGTTGGGTAGTTGCTTGTTGGGTGACTACCCGCACAATAAGCGCAGGCGTTGGGTCATCTGCAATATCAGGTTATGTGTTTATATTGCTGGCATTTGAAGAATTGCTGAATCCAGTGGGAATTGCCATAAAGACTGCATGAATACGTCTGGCCTAGGTAGACTAAGCTGTAATGTACAAGCCTATTGACTGTACAGTCATTGCTAAGCTCAATCAGCAGGTCAGCGCTCTGTGCTTTAGTCTCGTTGAGCACCTTCCTGCTGGTGAGCCATCCCGAATAGGTGATCTTTGTAGGAGAGGTGAATTACCCTGCATTCCCCGCCTGTAGACAGGCAGGCAAGCCATCCAGCTCTGTAAGGTAATTAATGCCTTCTAGGACCACCTGCAAGCTCTCTCTTTTCAATTCAGCCCCATCACCAAAGGTCTGGCACCACCCAGCAGCTCGGGTTAGCTGCTCCACATCCTCCAGGCTATTTGTCCACAGGGTCACGTCGCCACTAGGAAGGAGGCGGACCGTAGATACCTTACGGTGACTGATCATCAGTGGAGTCTCCCATATCATGAATGACACGGTTTACGCGCTCCACAATGTCAAGAGGCTTTATGAAGCGCAGGGGGTCTACCATGCTAGGGTCTGTCTTCCTAATGTGTAGTTCTAAGTCTCCCAGAAGGGGAATGACCGGCGCTGGGGAGCTTGGAGTTGTACTAACAACACTGTTGGTGCCCACTGAGCCGTTAGCCTGGATCCTGTTCATCCACCCAGAGACTAATGAAGTTTCTGATGAGAGCTGACTAGTGAGGACAGCATCACGGTAGGAGGTTGTTTGAGTGTCATGGGTAAACAAGTTAGGCGGCTGCGAGTAAGCTTTCTGGAAAGCCTTGGTGTCTTTGGTGTCCCTGGTGTACTGTTCACAATGGCCGTTCAACCTAGCCTCGATTCAATTGATCTTGTCAACCAAAGGTGCATTTTCAGCGCCTGAATCAACGCTGTCACAGGATTTCGTAGCCAGCTCTATACCGGAGGCAAGGACTTGATTAAAGACATCTTTTGGGGGATGTCCACTAGTTGATTCAATGCTCTACTGCAGATGCTTGATTCCTTCTTCAAAAGCATTTGCATGGGCGCGTAAGGTTGTCTCCTGTCGACTGAACTGGTGATCTGGCCACTTTTCAGCCACTCTGACCACCTGCTTCTTCAACTTGCCACACATTCTCAGCAACAAGAAGGATGGCAGCGTTGAGAATATATTCAGTCAAATCTGCGTGGAATTAAATATAAGATTGGAATTTCGGCTGATGCCGGAACTCGCTCACAATGTAGGGGGAGGTCCGCCACTGAGGAGTTTTTTTACCTGTTGATATTGATTGTTATGAAAGGTTCAAAAAGGGCCACGAGGAATGAAAGAGTGATTGGAGCTTTCGCCAAATCGAACAGAGAAGGACATTTGGGAGGCAGTTTGTAACCTGGGATATCATCTGCGGTCAGTCAGTCACGCAACATGGGTGACAGGCCTTCAAGATGCCCTTGACGCACAGGGAGAGAGTCATTTTTTTGGCCGAATACTAACTTACATGCGTGTGGCTTATGTGTGACCGGTAGGAGAAAATGTTTTTTATTCTTGTTATTTTGAAGGTGAATAGACTGATGAAAGGTAGAGTTAATTGGGAGACAAATATCTCACAATCAAGCTTCACTCAAGACTGCCACTTAAATGGCCCTCGAGGCGGGATATTTAAGAAATAAATACACCCGAGCAGCAGTATAAAATAGTAAGCCAAGAATGATGATAGATTTTTAAAGGAGAACAGAGAAGGAAATAGACTACATGTAAGAAAGACACAGGCAACTGGAGGTTTATATAGTAATATCCAAGTTGAACCCTAAAAACACCATTGAAAACAACAAAATACCGAAACCATATTCCATACAAATCAGACCTTAACAGACAACAAACAAAACAAAAAGATATTATCTTGAAAAAATAAATAAAAAAAAATTAATTATCCGAGCTTGAAGACCATCATATCCTTCTCCAGATAGAGCCTGATCTCCTTGACAGTCTTCCCAAAAAAGTCGGCATGGTCTATAAGCATCCGCGGCACAAGTGCACCATTCGGAGATCCAAGCAATGCCTTGAACTCCTCAGAATCAGGCTTGAAGACTATTCGGTCTCCTTTGTCACAAGTATTTGCATATGCTTGTTTCATAATGTCCACGGTTAAAGGGTTTTGGATTTCAGGCTTATAGATGTATTCCAACTTTTGAAGAGACTCCTCACCATCATCAAGGGCCCACGACGCCAACTGGAATGCAACCTCGGACATTTGCAGGCTAGGATTGCCATTCTTTGATATTCTCTTTTCAATCATTGCCTTTGGATTCGAACCGCTCTCGAAAAAGCCAGAGTACTGGGATGGTGATTGAGGATCCTTCGCCTCCCAATATTTGTAATGCTGAGACTGAACAGTTGGAATGCCATCAGAGTCCATCGCGCTTCCTACCACTGACGGAAGTGTTTCAGGTTTTTTATCACTTGGTTTCCATCCTCTAAAAATGTTAAATTTGCTGTCGATTGCCTTCTTATTCTTCAAGGCGTTTTCGAGGTTGTTGATTAGTTCTTGGCCTTTTTGGACATACTTATTCCAATCCGCTGTAGCTCTGGAAGCATGCTGATGCACGCTAGCCGAATCATTCTCGGCGGGGCTAGTGCCGTCGTCTAAGCTAGTTTCTCGTTGTTGGCGGTGACTCTGGGCATGAGCATTATCTGTGTCGATCAAAGGGACTGTTTCATAAACAATAAGTTGGATGTTCCTGACAAATTGACAAACAAGCAGTGCACAAACACTCTGCCGTGTACCAGAAGGTGGTAGAAAAGAGAGGGAGAATGGAGGCAGTTAACTCACCAGAATGTACATGCGGGTTTATTCCATTTGCCCAATTGCCTACATTTTCAGGCAAAAATTGCTTAGGATGACCCTGGCCGACAACAGTGGTAGGGTAGGATCCGGGAAGTTGGCTTGAAGATAGGTTAGGGTGTGGGATTGCTCGACCGAAGGTGCCAATGAGACTGCTCAAGGTGGCCAAAATGGCAAGGCGTAGGTATGAGGATCGCATAGTCGATGAAGAAGTGAATCAGGGGTGAATCAAAGGGGATAAATAGAATATGAAGATTTATCTGTTTCCCAGAATGAAGAATGATGGATGATTGGATTGGATTGCAAAAGAAGGTCGAATAGCTGGGTTATTGGCTTCCTATTTATTCTGTGCTGTTTAGGGCTGAAATGCCTGATATCCTACAGAACATACAGGCCAATTCTGCTAGTAGGGCACACAGCCAGCGCTGGGAAAGCCTTACACTACCAGGAAGCTACTTTAATTGAATAGTTATGCCTTGGTAAATATTCCTTGTAGATCTCATTTCTCAATTGGGGGCAATTTTGGCCTCAGGCAATAATCCATATCAGCCTTGCAACATCACATGACCGGTGGCTGTGCATAGCACTTGATGCTCTCTTTTCCTCCCAGATCGTTGACAACTTGACATTATCCTGAATCACTTTACTATTTGACAACATGTCGTCTGAGTTTGAGTCTGGGTTTGTGCCATCGCGAAACTACTCCCTCGATGATTGGGGGCCTCGCAAAAGAGGAGAATGGCCCGGCCCGAAAATACCCCTTTCAGTACCTGAATGGAGATTCCCAGAGGATTACCCACTCAAGGAACAAAAGATATTGGACAAGAAGTACTGGCGCACGCTAAGTAAGCTACAAAAGGAGGTCAGTATCATCCTATAACAACCCTCTGGGGCGGTGGCACCTGGTTAATGCAAAGAAGCTGACTGGTTCCATTTTAATACAGCTTAGACCTCAATTACCAGATGACCAACGAAGTCGTGTAATGGCTGAAGTCGAAAATGCAGACCGTCAAGAAATAATGTTTGTGTCAGGGTTCCCACTTTGCAAGGAGTGGATGGAAAGATGCATGGACCACAAAGTCTACCGGGACTTCTGCTGGAAAATCTGTGCCATCTACATGGCTTCTAGAGATGACACAAAGAAGAAGCAATCCTTTGGATCCACTCTGTATGAATACCTTGACAGCATTTGCTTCAAAGGTGAGCAGACATGGGCCTTTTGTCAGAGCTTCCTGGCCAAAGCAATCCATTGTACTGCAGACCAAGCAAGGGATCTCCCTTATCTTGCATCTTTCCACAAGGAAATCTGTGACGAGGTGGCTGATTGGTGTCCATCTTGTGAGCCACTGAGCGCAGAGGAATGCAGGGAAAAAGGTGTGGCATATACTGAGTGGTGTCCTGAAGACTACCACCTTCTGCCCATCTTCCGGAGGCTCCTTGTTATTATTGATGAGATCCCAATCGATGGACCATTTGATCACCCCAAATTCCCAAAGGCAAAGGCCCGATTAGTATTCACTCAGGATGAGAGAGGGAACATGGCAATTGACCCTATCAGTATTCCTGATTTGTGTGCCAAGTACAATGTCAAGACAACTGACAACCCCAGTGTTGTTACAGGGGAGCTGGACACTGTATTGGAGATTGTGACTTCTCTATGGGAGCAAGAAAGACCTCACCTTACATATCTGGACCCAATCGTTGAAAAGCTCCAGGAGAGACTGAAATTTAAAGTACAAGATGTTGAGGCTTTCTGGCAGAGTTTACATGAAAAAGAAGAGGCAAGATTCAACAATAACTGAATTATGATTGTTGACTAGCACATGAAAACTGGCATTTCAATGTTGCTGTACATAAGAGATGAAATGTGGTTGTGACGGCTCAACGGCTCAACGCCAGACAAACAGCGCCAACATATCAAACGATGCCATACAAGCAAT